CTCAAAGGACCCCCTTCATCAAGAAGACAGAATGGGGAGTGGATTTGATCCAAGCACATAATACACATGTATGAATACTAAGTCTTAAAAAAACAAAACAAAACAAAAAAACTTTCTTAACTCTCTGTGGACTTGGTCTGTGCAGCTCTCACGTCCCTGGCAACTCTCTCTGTAACGTCTTTTTCTAAACTGAGTTTATCATCATTTCACAGTGGGTAACTATTTAAGATAAAACTTCTAACATGCATTAAGATTTACACAGAAAGCACCTTCTGGGCATCTGCATGGGGAGCAGCTTACTCGAAGAAGGAAAGAGGCTTGTTCCACCGCTCTGCACATCTTTTCTTTCCACCTACAATTAATGAAGCCCAAAGTGCAGTCTATTGACCAAAGATAGTGATTTAAAAATTGATAAGCACATATGGGAAGTGTCTTGCTGCTGTAAAAATGATTTTAGAAAGCAACATATTACATACATACTGCATGCTTGCTAAGAATGAGGCACATGTGGGAGTGCTTTACTTCATGTATCTCACTTATCTAGCATAAATATGGTCACAACTCCTATTACCATCATACAAGTTAGGGAAATGAAGGCCTAGAAGCTGCATTATAGCCTGGTGAGAAGGGAATTAAAGTTGTTTAGCATTAAATACAGTACTCGTAACATAATTAAAATTTCCAAGCTCTGCAGTTATGAAGAGATGCTGATCACAAACTGGAAGCATTTATACTTTCAATATGAAGTGCCTCACCCTGCCCCCATAGGCTCAGGTATTTGAATACTTGGTTCCTAGGTGTTGGCCCTGTCTGGGGAGGTTGTGGAACCACTGGGAGGGGAAGGAGGAAAGTAGATACAGCTCAATATCCAGTGCTGCTCAGGTTTGTTTTGTTTTCTGATCCTCCAAAAGCCACAGGCTCCCTGCTCTAGCCCCACCACTGTGCTTTCTGGGCCATGATGCCTTGTTCCTGCTGATCTGGGAGCCAAAATAAACCTCTCCTAACTTTTTTTTCAGCTAGGTGCCCCCTGGCTCACAACAAGACATCCGCTGCCTGGTATGGCTGGGATACAATCTCAGTATATCCCCTAAGGTTCATGTACTCTCAGTGTGGTCCTTGTGATGATGGGCCCTTGAGAGGTGGGACCAAGTGAGAAGTCACAGACCATCCCCTTCCCATCTCCCTGGCTTCCTGTTTCATGATGTAATCCCTCTTGCACACACTCCCATCACTGTGGTGTAATTGCCATGAGGTCAGACAGGTAAAAGGCCCTCACCTGAGCTAGGCATATGCTATCTGGATTTTCAAACTCTGTGACAGTGAACAAAAACTGCTTTTCTTCTGTCTTCTCCCATTCCCCAATCCCTTTGTAAGTAGCCAGCCTCAGGCATTTCCTTACGGCAACAAAAACAGGCTAAGACCTTGACCCTTGAGCTCCCTCTGTCTTTTCTGCTCTACTGCAGTGAGAGACTTTGTCTCAAAGACTGTGGAGAAGCAGTAGAGGAAGGCACCGGACACCGACCTCCAGCCTCCACTTGAGCCTGTGTACCTGGGCAAGTGCAACCCCAAACACATATTCACACCTGCATACAACACACACACATACACATGCGTGCACTTGTGCATGTGTGCAATCAATAGAAAAAGTGTGTGTGTGGTGGAAATTTTTGTTTCTTTCATATGCACACATGGGGAATAGACCCTCCAAATGCATTCACACCCATATCTGGGGTAGCGTTATATTGGATTTGCTTACATCTTTCTGTGTGTGTTTTGTATTTTCCATTTTCTACTCTCAGCATGAACTGTTTTCATATTTATGAGAACATAATTAAGGGGCTAGAGAGATAGCTCCGTGATTAAGAGCACTTTCAACTCTTATAGAGGACCCCAGTTTGGTGCCCAGTCCCCACATGACAGCTCACAATATCTGTGACTCCAGTTACAGGGGATCTGAGACCCTCTTCTGACTTCCTCAGGCACTGTATGCACATGGTACACTTAGACACATGCAGGCAAAACACTCAAAGACCTAAAGCAAAGAGAGAATGGGGGGGGGGTGCTGTAACTATTAAGGCCCACATCCAAGGAGCTATTTCCTCTACCTATGCTTCATCTCCTAAAGTTTCCAGGTTCCCAAAACAGCACCACCAGCTGGGGCTGGGGACCAGGTTTTCAAACCCATGAGCCTGTTGGGGGCATTCGCATCATAACATCTGAAGAGCCTCACATTTATATCTCACGCAGGGATATTAAGTTTTGTGATTAAGCGTTCAGCAGCTTAAAATTCCATAGACTAATAACATTCTTGTGCTTTTGTTTTATTGTTTGTTCGTTGAGACAGGATCTTGTTATAGACACCAGGCTGGTCTCAAACCTTGGATTTTCCTACCTCAGCCTCTTGAGTGCACCATGGTATGTAGTTCAAGACATTTATTTTGTGTATGGTATCTGTGTGGCGTATATGTGTATCTACACGTTTGGACATGTGGAGACCAGAGGTCAACACTGGATATCTGTCTCTTATTGCTCGCTACCATACTTTTTTGAGACAAGGCCTCTCCCTGAACCTGGAACTTGCTGTTTTGGCTACACTGGTTGGCTAACGAGCCCCTGCGATCCACCAGTCTCCTCCTATCTCCAGCACCGGGGTTATAAGTAAGCACCACTGTACTCAATGTTTACATTGGTATTAGGGATCAAAACCCAGTATTTATGCTTATGAAACAAGCACGTTACCCCTTGCGCCATTTTTCCAACTTAAAGACTGATAATATCTGAAAAGTAAAATACTGCCAACAGCAGCAGTAAGCAGCTCCCTCAGTCTCAGCACTAATACCAGCTAATTCACCATAAGATACTCATACCACGGGCCTTGGAGGGGAGCTCATGTGGGCCTTGTGGAGCCTATCGCTGAGAGCAGCGATTTTGTCTTCAACTCAAAAGTTTACAGGTGGAAAACAGCTGTCTTTTTTTAAGGTCAGCAAAGCACAGCCAACATCAGAGTCTATACGTACAATTTAACTAGTGATCAGCATCTTCAATTTATATGCATTTGGCGTGTATTACTTTTAAACTACAATGGTAGAGCTGAATCGCTGCAATGCAGATTTCCTGACTCACAAAGCATAAACCATTAGAAGATGTCTGCTGACTACTATGGATTGGATACGGTTTGAGTGTGTGCACGGTTCAGGTGTTAGGACCAGTATGGTAGAGGAATTTAAGACACAAAGCCTACTAAGGTTAGACAGGTCCGAACCTCCTCTCTGACTTCCAGACTTCTGATGTAATGCCCCTTGTACTCATCCCCACCAACGCATCGACCTCATGGTCATTATCATGAGGTCAGTACAGCTAAGGCGGCCCTCATATGAGCCAGCCCTATGCTGTTTGGACTTTCAAACTCTAAAACTGTGATCTAAACAAACTTCCATTTTAAGTAGCCAGGTTCAGACAGTTCCTGATACTAACAAAAAATAGATTATACAATGACCCCTGGTCTCTCACGATCTTTCCTACTCTACTGTAGGTTTTCCTGTTTCTCCATCAGAGAACAACTACTCTGCCCCTTCCTGCCTGACAGTGTTTACAGTGATATCTGTATACGAACATTCTCACAAATATAACCACATACTTCAACAAGAGATCTGAGAAAATATCAGCATAGGGAATGTGATCACTGTGTACTCAATTCAATGATACCAAGTTTATGTTTCCTATATACGATACCCAATCAAAACACTGAGGAAAAAAAAATTCCCCTATCCCATCTTTTCTATAACCATTTAAAATATGGTTCAAAAGTTCCAAAAATATTGACCATTTCTCAGTAATCTGGAGTTCACCGATTTGGCTAAACTAAGTGGCCAACTAGATCCATGGGTCCCTGTCTCCACATTCCTCCCCCAGCTCTGGGTTTACAGATCCAGGTGCCGCTCTGGCTTTTACATGGGTTCTTTCATCTGAACTCCAGTCCTTATGCTTTACCTGAGCCATCAGGAAAGCTTTGCCATGCATGGTGGCACATGCCTTTAGTCCCAGCACTTAGGAGGCAGAGGCAGGTGAGTTTGTGGACAGCTTGGTATACATAGTGAGTTCCAGGCCAGGCAGGGCTACACAGTGAGACCCTGTCTCAAAACAACAATAACAACAACAACAACAACAACAACAACAAACCAAGAGAACTTGAAGAAAGAAAAAAAACATTCTGGGTCTTTGGCAGTCAGAATTACTAAAAAAGCATTAAAAATGAGCCACAACATACAAAAATATGCAAATACAAAAGGTCTAAACTTCAATGCATCGAAGGCTCTTTTTTTCCCCTACAGTGCTGGGGATGAAGCCTAGGGCCTCACGCATGTTACACAGTGTGCTCCAGCTGACCCTCACCCCTAACACCAAGGTAAGCACTCCACTCCACACTGTCAGTTTTATTCTTAGCAGGGTATTTCAAGTCAAAGCCTGTGCACACACCACAGTTTGCTGTTCGGCAAACCCTGAAGATCACTAAACTTATGCAGGGTAACTCATGTAAGTTTTTACCAATTTTCAAGGTTATCCAGCAAGCCAATTTGCAGATAGACACAAATCACATTCACAAACTAATGAAGCAAAGAATTCACATGTAGAAGCCGAGTAAAAGCCATATACTCATGTACCAGAACCTAGTATCAAATTCAGCTTAAGTGTAGCTCATAATGTTGACAAAGATTCTTTTCATGTGTCAGCTTGTTATTCTAAGACTTAAAAGTCTATTTTAGCTCATCTAAGATCCTAAACTCTTAGAAGGCAGTAAAAGGCAAGAACTGATCCCACAAGTTCCTACTGAGTTCCTGGTGTCCCATTTTCCCTCCTTCAATTTCAGCAGACAGAAAGACGTGGAACTTCCTTCTAAATTATAATTTGAAAACACGTGCTAAGCTTTGCAGAACATAAGCCTGCTTCTCAAATGGACTTCAGGCAGAAGGGCAAGGACCCAACCGAATGGGGCTGCTTACCGTCACAATGAGTTCATGTGTAGACTTCCAGAGCAGTGGGCCTCCCAGCATCCGATCATACACACCACACTGCAAGGCGTCCAAGAGCACCAGAACCGGACTGGAGAGACAGAAAGACTTGACGGTAAAAAGTCAACCCATGGGGGTGTATTCACTTCTCACCCCTCCCATTCATTTAGGTTTCTTTTTCATTCTAACTCAAATTTAATGCATTTTATTGAGTCAACATTTTTGTCTTTGTTTTTAAGATGAAGATACAGGAGGCAAAGAGAATAAAAACAATGGATTAAAATAGCTGATGAGGCATTATTCTGCATGTAGAAAGTCTAGAAGGGGCTCAAACATGATAAAATTACTATTAGCTCAGATACAGCTGTGGCTATTATTTCAGGGTAAATTAATGTCTGATGTACAGACTTTTGTTTCAGGATAGTACTTCATGCAACTGAGAAGCTGTGCACACCCTCATGTAAAGACATCACAGTGAAGTTCAGGAACATGTCAGCCATCGAAGCACTAACATTTACAGTAATCCCATCACACCCACATGTGTCCACATGCCTGCTCATGCACTATGCTTGCAAAACCAACATTTATTTCTTTGGCTTCCCTAAAAGCAAAGGCATCAACATCTTTATTCTTCTGGTTCCCTAGGTACAAGAGATGAAACTAAGAGCCTTGAAGGAGCTAGGGCAGAGCTTTAACAGTGAGCCACAGCTCATCCCAAAAGTAACCTTTCAAATGCTGATTTTAGGAACTGACATTTTGAAGAGGTCTGCCTGAATTGATTTCCTTTTTTTTAAAAAAACTATTTATTTATTTATTTATCTATTTATTTATTGTGTGTACGCCTGCATGCATGTAAGAGTGTGTGCACTTGCACATATGGTGGCCAGGGGACAATTTTCAGAAGTCTGTTCTCCCCTTCCACCACGTGTGTTTCAGGGATTGAAATCAGGTCCTCAGGCTTGGTGGCAAGCATCTTTACCCTGTGAGCCATTTCACTGGCCCCTGAGTTGATTTTGAAAAATCTAGGCTCCCAGCTGATGAAAACATCATCCTTTACATCACATCAAATTGCTTTTATTTTTCAGTAACTAGGAATATAAACAAACCAATAAGCAATTACTTAACAAGATATACTTCCGGCCTTATAAAATGTCTTTAGTTGTAAATGAATCCAGCTTCTAGTTTAAACTATCCAAAATCATTGGAAAATTCAAGAACCAAGGAAATTACTATTTCCGGCATTTTGAAGTTCTTATTCAACCATCTTGAGCAAAAGTTAAAAATTTGGGTAACCTCTTCAGAGGATGATGTGATAAAAATAGGAGGGTAGGAATTGGCTAGGCAGTTAAGGTAAAAAGACCCCAAAGAAAAGTAAGTCAAAATGTCCTTGGGCCTCTTAGCAACATACTCTGTTCCAAAGGCCAAAAATGTCAAAAGTATTTGGGAGCTTGTATCTAATCCTTAAAAGATTTTAGGGTTACCTCTTCAGAGGGGGGAATGTTAGAGGATCCAAAAGCCCCATAAAAATAAATAAATAAAAGAAGAAACAGTACATGAACTTTCAGAAAAAAAGTAATGAAGAGATATGGGAGGAGTTAGAGGGGAGGCAGTGGACATGGATTTGATCAAAACACCTTATATGCATGTATGAAATTCTCAATAAATTATTTATTTTAAGAAAAAAGTTGAGGTTTACTGTAACTCAAATCCATAAGTGAAGTTGTGATGAAAGGCGTTTCTTACTGATTTTATAAGGACCTCATAAAATATTTTCAGGAAATTCAAGCAAATTGTTCCTACTGAGTCATGTTTATAGCTTTGCTGTTTAAAGGAAGCAAATGAAAGAGATTTGACAGGAAAGGTCACAGACCTCTACATTTCATTCCAACATAAAAAAAGAAGAAATCCTAAGGATGTTGGAGATAAAAATAACCAGCATAAAAAAAGAAACACAAAATTCACCTACAAACTCTTTGAATAAAAATTAAAATGCACCAAACCATAGTGAACCAGGTACAAAGGAATATCAATTTAGCTTATAAAACAAAAATAAACTTAGTTACAAAACATACATGGGGAGGTGGAGAGATGGCTCAGTAGTTAAGAGCATTGGCTGCTCTTGTAACTCACAACTGTTCATAACTATAGTTCAAGGGAATCCAGTCCCCCTCTTCTGTCCACAGCAGGTATTGCACACACATGGCACACATACATATATACATTCAAGCAAGCACTCACACACATAAAATAAAAATAAATCTTTTTTTAAAAGAGAAAAATGCACTGGAAATGAAAAAGGGTAAGACTATTAAAGAATGTTGAAGGGGAAGTGGAGGGCTCTTTACAGGATGAGTTGTAAATTATCAGGGTGGGGGGATAAGCCTTATGATGAAATAGCTAAATGCTATAAAGTATCAAAATATGAGCAGCTGTCACCCCAATGAGCTCCAAGCTGCCTTCAAATTAAAACATTAAACTCCATCATAATTAAATAAGCAATTAATATACCAACAGTTCTTCTTACAAGCTGTTCAGAAAAAAACTTCAGCATCAAATTCTTATTTTCCTTGGTCCAAAACAGATGGTAATTCACAAATTAGAGTTTTAAAACTAAAGACTATCTTTTATATATGTTGTGAAACTCTGTAAGCTTAATTAACTTATCATCTGTGTGTAATCAACACCAAAAAATGGGAATTATGACTTTGGTTAATTAATAACATTTCATCTGATTATGCAACATGTCCAAAAATAATTAGTTCATTGCCAAAAACAATAAATTAAAAAGAGACATCAGTCCTTATAATGCCTGCTTTTTTGTTTGTTTTCCTATGATTAGCACCTAAAATAGAAATATCATCAATAATTTGTTCTCTCGGGCCTTGAAAGATGGCTGAATAGGTAAAGTGCCTGCTGTATAAACGTGAAGACCTGAATTCAGACTCCTAGAACCCATATAAAAAACTGGGCATGACAGTACGTATCAGTAGCCTCAGACTAGGGGATGGAGACCAGCAAATCCACAGAGCTCACTGGTCCGACAGCCGAGTCAGTCAGCAAGCTCCAGGTTCAGTGAAAGACCCTGTATTAAAATAAGATGGGGTTAGCAAGGTGACTCAGCAGGTAAAGGTGCCTGTCATCAAGTCTGATGACCTAAATCTGATCCCTGAGCCGCAAAAGGGGGAAGGAGAGAACAGACTCCAGAAAGCTGTCCTCTGACTTTCACACATACCCCATGGTGCGTGCACCTGGCACGCACAGACATACACTCACACAAGGGGGAAGGAGAGAACAGACTCCAGAAAGCTGTCCTCTGACTTTCACACATACCCCATGGTGCGTGCACTTGGCACGCACAGACGTACACTCACACAAGGGGAAAGGAGAGAACAGACTCCAGAAAGCTGTCCTCTGACTTTCACACATACCCCATGGTGCGTGCACTTGGCACGCACAGACATACACTCACACAAGGACAGAAGTGTAGTTCAAAACAATGTAAGGTGGAACAATAGAGAAAGATACCAGACATTGACCTCTGGCCTCCATATACTTGTGAGTACGCACATGCTTGTGCAGTCTTGCATAACCCTATGAATACATATATATGCCAAACACACATACATATATATATAAGCACACAATAAAACTGCTGCTGTCAAGAAAGTTCACATAAGGCCCAGTGTGCTGGCATACGCCTTTAATCTCAGCACTTGGCAGAGACAGGTGGATCTCTCCAGAGTTCCAGGCCAGCTGGGGCTTCAAGGAGACTGTCTCAAAAACAAGAAAAAGAAAAAAAGGAGAAGAAAGAAAGTTAGAAAGAAAGAAAAATGAAAACTAGGGCTGGAAAAATGGCTCAGTGGTTAAGAGCATGGCTACTCTTGCAGAGGATCCAGATGCAGTACCCACCACCCATATGGCAGCTAAGAACCGTCCCAAACTCCAGTTCCAGGTGATGCCCTCTTCTGAACTCCACGGACATTAAACATATGTGGTATACTTACATACGTTCAGGCAAGACATTGATACATAAAACATTTTTAAGAAATATTCTAAAAAAGAATTAAGCACTATAATCAAATAAAATACAAAATAACTTATGAGTGTGTAATTCACTGATCCTCCTTCCCTATCCATCTGTCTGTGTCTTTTAGTCATGCTGGAGACCCCAAGTGTTCTGAGATGTTACTGCAGATGGCATTTATACACAGGTGGGAAGTCACATACAGTCAGCTCTTTGCCTTTAAAACACTAGTCGAAGAAACTGGAGATGTACTCAACTGAGCACTTGCCTAGCACACAGGAAAATCTTAGGTTGCATGCCCAGTACTGCCTAACTGGGTATGGTGATGCATGCCTATGATCACAGGAATTGGGAGGTGGAAGCAGGAAGATACAGAGTTCAGGGTCTTCAGAGAGACCCTGTCTGGAAAAATAAATGTAAATAAATAAAACACTGGCCAATTCAATCCTTCAGATCTCTTACCAACCCTTCTTAAAAGGCTGTCTGCCTTTGAACCTTTACCTAAGGAAAATAATGCATCTTCTTAATGAAACAACTGTAATTTTTATGCTTACTCTGTTCCCTATGCAGAACACAGAATTATGGGGTCATAAGCTGTTTCCCTACCTTCCTTTCACCTCCAGGGTATCCTCTATTTCCTTCTATCAAGTTATTCACAGCATAAGTTTTACCCTGTCCTCCTTAATAGAAGGACAAATCCCATCTTCCCTGCTGATGTGCAGTCTAGGTTGGGCACACGGTATATAAATAATATGATCTTCATGAACAATTGAAGAACAATGAATGATGCAGCATATATGTAACACCCAGAACATTAGAGTATCTGGCTACACACCTGAACACTGTAATTCCAAACTCTTTCTACAACATTCATAGCTTTGTGATGTCTGTCTGTATTGCAAAATACCAGAAGGAAGTGTAATATTTTCACAAGGATATTGGAGTTCAGAAATATTTCTTTTGAATTTTTCATGTGTGTGTTTGGTACTGGGTATGGAATGTAGGAACTTGCATATGCTAAGCAAGTACACTAGCACTGAGCTATATCCCCTGTCCTGTTTTATTTT